TCCCATGTATTGCTCTTGCTCTCCACATGATTTCCGTGGAGCAGGACACCCGTCCTTACCTGTTAGTCCAGGGGTGGGGATGGAAGGGAGGCTGCTGGAGGAGCCCCTGGCATTACAGGGGGTGAAGTCCCAGGGGCAGGTCACAGTGGTGGAGCAGACACTGGTGAGCTGGGGGAGAGCTGGGGCTGGATTCCAACAACTTCCTCAAGGCTGAGGAAGCATGGGAACAGCCTGGAGAAGTGGTGGTGGAGTTGGAGCTGCAGCCAGGGCCCTCTGCATCAGTTATAGCCTCGTTTGCCTGCAGGCCAGAGCAAACTTCTCTATCAGGTTTGTGACTTGGCTTCCGGCTGTGGCAGTCCCAGGTAACATGGCTTGGCTTTTGATATGGAATAGCAAAGCTTGGGGTACCTTTTCTGTATGTAAAGAAAATTCCATAATGTTTGAAGTGTTTGAAGGTCCTGGCAAAGTGAAGATCTCTGCATTACTCATGGATGAGCTGCTGCTGTTTTAAACATTGGAATTGGGTATTCTCTGCTCTTCTCCTTGTCTCTGTGCTTCCAGCATCACCAGGTACCGAGTTCCAGGCAGCAGTGATTTGGTCAGCCAACCAGAAGGACCTCAATTCCATTTGCGTCACAAAAGTTTGAGGACACAGAGGTTCTTTAACACCCTGAGCCAGTCCTAGCACAGTGTGAGATAACAGGGCACTAAATTTCGAGAAATCACCGTTTTTAATCTGTGCAGCTGAAATGTCATGGAGGATTCATGGCCCAGAAGAGGAAGGTGCTGGGTGTGACAGATCCTCGTGGATTTGGTTTGCTGCTTTGCTGCAAACTTTTTCCATGAGGAGGGAAAGCGCTCTCCATGCTGGGAATGCCTACTCTTTGGGAGAAGTAGGGCTTTGTATGGGACATGACCAAGCTGCAGTGACTCCTCACAGAATCTTGGAGTTGTCTGAGCATTCCCACACAGGAAGCAGTCGTGTTCTCTTTGATCCTGTAAGCTTAACTGCTGTGTTCTAAGAATAAAGTTTAAATGGAATCACAGCATGGTAGTGGGTGAGGAGGAATGTGATGCTGCAGGTCACAAGGTGTGCTGTGTTTCTGAAAGTGCTTTTTGGTGCTTTGAGGATGAGCTAGGAATTCCAGAGATATTTGCTGCTGGTGGGGATAGGAGAAGGCAGAACACTCGGACGTTGCTGTTGGCCCAGGTAACTCAGCCTGATTAGGTTGTGTGTAGAAACCCAAAATCATTCCCAGAAAAGGGCAGCAGTGTGTGTGCACTGAGGGGAAGCGAATAAAACAGATGGTGAAGGACCCTGTAGAATTTGGTTTGCCATCATGAGCCACCAGCCTTTTGCACTCCTTCTGCAGCATCACCACATCAGTTTCACATGCTGTTTTTTGTCCCTTCCCAGTGTTTCTTTTCCTAAATCTTTCCAATGCCTCTCCTCTCCCCATTGAAGACAGATCCTGTCACCAGCTGCTGGTCCAGGTCCGTGTTGACCCAGGGATGTATTTTGTGTGGACTGGTGTTCATGTGTCACGTGCACCTTTTGTGCAGTTCTTTTAACTTAAAATGACCCAATTCCAGAGAATCTTGGAATGGTTTGGGTTGAAAGGGTCCTTAAAGCCCATCCAGTTCCACCCCCTGCCATGGGGCAGGGACACCTTCCACCAGCCCACGGTGCTCCAAGCCTCATCCAGCCTGGCATTGGACACTTCCAGGGATCCAGGGGCAGCCACAGCTGCTCTGGGCACCCGTGCCAGGGCCTGCCCCCCCTCACTGGGAAAAATTCCTTCCTAAATTTCTTGATTTTTTTTTTTTTTAAACTAATATATAAATTCAGAATGTTTTGTGCAGATTCAAGTGGTACACAACAAAATCTTCTCTTTCCCTATTCCAAGTGCTGTGTTGTTGGATCCTGATCCCATGTTTGGTGTCGTTCTGGTCCATATAACCATGTGAAATAGAATTTTCTGGACTGTCAGTGCAACTGGCAGGAAGATCAAAGTTCCAAGCAGCTGATCTCAGATGAGAGATTATAGGGGCAGGATAATCGGATAAAGGGCAGTTGAAGAAATTTGACACTTAAAATACTTTTTGTAAATCTGTCTATCCCTGTGTGTCCTTGGTTTTGGAGGAGAATTTGTGAAGCTGGGCTTGTCTAGGCAAGATATTTTGAGGAAAGATAAGAGATTTGGAAGTTTACTGTAGATAATGTCTTATAACTGATTAACTTTATGCAGGTGAGGGTTTATGTGGGGAAATGAGTGTGTGGGACTTTTGGCTGATCACTAGTGTTTATCTTGTTTGTGTGTTATCTTGTTTATATTTCAATATAACATAAATCCTGAAACACATGTTCCTTGCTTCCTGTAAGGAGAGAGAAAATGTGTTTAAATGTTGAGTATAAATGGAGCTACTTCCAGGAAGAAAACCCAGAAACTTGGAATCAACCAATTTATTTGTCAAAGAAATTTAAATCAGCAATAAATTACAAGACACTTAGTGCTGTCAGACAGCTTAAAGTTCCTCATTGATTCAGCACTAGCTGCTGGAAGCAGGAATTCTGTCTACACGTTTTTTTCTTGCTAATTATGTAGAAATACGTAATGATGCTGAAATGCTATTTTTGCCTGCAAATGTAATACTGCATTTCTGCAGCAGCCTTTCCCTTTAGTGGGTGTTTTCTGCATGAATCAACGTAAAATTCTAGCAGGAAATTTCATGTTCTCAGCATTGGTGAGTGCAGACACATGTAAAACGTGGTGATGGAGAGGGGCTGAGCAGTGCGAGGCACGGGGGGAGCTGTATCCTCTGGGGAAGAATTAATTTCCTTGCAACAACTCTCATGTTTCTGGAATTCGTCAGTTTTTGCTTTAATGCTATTTATAGTTCAGCATATATAAACATTGGCCTGTGTTTAGGTGAAAACACAAAGTTTCATTTGAAGTCTGATGTGTGTGGAGTAGGTTTATGGCAGGAGGAGTTCTTAAAGGTACCCAGGCACTTGGGATTCCTCTGGAAAGTGCTGAACTGCAGTTCACTATCGATGTGTTCTGGACTGTGAAGCTGCATCTGATGCGAGAAAAGCCAGGAGAGTTGTTTTTCTTCTGAAAGCTTGGACTCGACCATAAACTTCTGCCATGAGTTCATAGATTCACAGAATGGATTGGAAGGCAACAATTGTTCTCACTTTTGCTCCTGTTGTACTACAAGGAGCGGCTGCATTTGCTTTTCCTCAGAGATGAGCGCAGCAGTTTGTACAAGCCCTTGTAAATGAGCACCAGCCTTTACTCCAGCTGGCACTGGCACTACTACCTGTAGCAGGACAGGAAAATCACAGGCAGACGTTCAAGGCTGCTGCTACTCAAAATGTTTAGTGAGGGGCTCCAAAATGAGGGATTGCAGCAGTGTGTATCTGCAGGGAACTATAGAACGCTGTCTATTTCATGTGTAAGTTGAACATATACACACACTTCCATTCCTTTCTCCTCCAGAAATCCTCTGAGAGGAGTGAATTGTCATCATCATCATCTATCATGACTCAAAATATTCAGAGTTGACTCGAAAAGCTCCTTTCCAAACCCCAAGTTATTGGGTGATTGAGAGCTTGTCTCTTTGGGCTGGTTCTTAGGGATTTTTTGTTGTTTAAGTAATTTATTTTTGACTCTCCAGTGTGGTGAAGGTTCTGTCAAGCCTTTTGCCTTAGAGGGATGCTTACATCCAAGACTCCCACAGGATAATTTTTTCTCAGGGAGCACATGATTTTTGCAGTAATCCACAAGTGGCACAATTCTAATATTTGAGAATAATTCCAACAATATGATAAAGACAGAGGGAAGGAAAAGCCAGCATTAGAATTGAAGCACATTCCGAAAGATCACAAGACCATTAAGAGCAAATCTTTAATTTCATGCTTCATTGGTAAAGACCAAGTTACTTGAAATGTGGTCTAAAATATGACAGCCAGACTCTATCCTGAAACACCTGGTGAGCACACCTAAGGCTGCAGGTGTACAACAAGCTGGAATTAACTTGAGAGCTGTAAATACCAGAGTATGGAGCAAACTCTTAGGAGGTCTCCTGGGTAACACACAAGGAGGAAGAGAGATCGAGCCCCTGGGATTAATACACACATGGGAGACACGGAGCTGTTGGAGCAAGCCCTGAGGAGGTCATGGATCCAAGGACTGGAGCCCCTCTGCTCTGGAGCCAGACGAGGACAGCTGGAGTTGTTCACCTCAAGAGAAGGCTCCAGGGGGATCTTAGAGCCCCTTCCAGCACCTGAAGGGGCTCCTGGAGAGCTGGAGAGGGACTGGGGACAAGGGATGGAGGGACAGGACACAGGGAATGGCTCCCAGTGCCAGAGGGCAGGGATGGATGTGATATGGGGAAGGAATTCCTGGCCCTGGCACAGGTGCCCAGAGCAGCTGGGGCTGCCCCTGGATCCCTGGCAGTGCCCAAGGCCAGGCTGGACACTGGGGCTTGGAGCAGCCTGGGACAGTGGAAGGTGTCCCTGCTGTGGAAAGGGGTGGAACAAGATGAGCTTTAAGGTTGCTTCCCACTCAAATCCAGTCTGTGATTCTAAGACTCCATAGGATGTTGTTAGGATGATGGTGCTAAATTAGGCTTTTTTTCCTTAGGAAGTCAGTTGCACAGTTGGAATTCTGAAAACAGGTTTGTCTCAGATTCTCACATGATGTGCTGCCCTCAGCCCTTCGTTCTGGATGAGAACAGTTTCTCTGAAATTCATGAATTATTTCTTTGTTTGAACAAGTTTGTGTCCTTTGTTTTGGTCTTCAAAATGTGCATCTTAATGTTTGTTTGTTTTCTGAAATAAGTTTTTTTCATGCTACTATTTCCAAGCACTTACTGTAACATTTTCCAAAGGTTCAGAAAGGGTTGGGTTATAGCTCATATCTTTTAGACAAAAACGTTATTTTTCTTGTGTAAGACATGGGTGACTTTTTGATCAAGTTGTTTTTGTCCCACAGAATCTGTCTATGACCTTCTCCCAAAGGAGCTGCAGTTACCACCTTCCAGAGAAACATCCATAGCATCCATGAGCCAAACAAGCGGCGGTGAGGCCGGTTCGCCGCCTCCAGCTGTAGTTGCTGCTGGTAAGGACTCTCCTTTATTCTGGTGTTTTCTTAAGGTTTGTAACGTTCTGGCCAACATGAACAGTGCTGGCAAAGTTCTGAGTGTAAAAAAGAGCTTGTGGAGAAATAACAGAGTTCATTCTAGGAGAATGTAGGTGATACAATTCAGCTGGGTGATCAAAAGCGCCAGGTATTTTACGTTAATGGTTGCTGTGTTTCATACATGCATCTCCATAAGAAATAAATTACCTGTTCCTCTATTCTGTCATGCCACAGAGGCAATTAACTCCTAGAATGCACTCTGTCTTCCAAGGGAATAAATCCCAGTTTGGAACTAAGGCAGAATGCTGACTGACTGTAAACCAGTGGATTCTAGTTAGGATAAAAATGGAATGGGAGATGACATTTTGGGCCATGAAGCTTTTACCAAAATGTGAGGAGGAAGAAAATGTCATGCTTTCCATTGGGGCCTGAGGAAGTGTAGTATTTAAACTTCTTTCACACACATCTCTAGTGTGATGTGGTAAAAAAGCCCAGATACATGAGGATATAATGCGTGTCAGCTGGAACTCTGTAAATGACCAGTGTAGTTATTTTTCTAATTGGCAACATATAAAAAAGAGGCATGACCTGATAATCTGCATCCTTTTCTTATTCCCATGTTCTAGATTTTAAAGACTCTTGCTGACCTTCATTAAACATAAAAAAGTGAGGATCTAAGGGCAAAGCTTTGATCTGGAAGATTAGCCTCAGTGCTGGCTTGCATCTGGAATTTTTGTCAGTAACTTGTATATATTAGTACACATCTGTGCAATGGGGAAAAAAGATTGTTTTGCCCATTATAGATGTATCTCCCTTCACTGGATAAGGGTTTTTTATCATAATTTGATCCTTGTATTTCTTACAAGGTCATGTTCCACTTTTCTAATTGGCATTAAATTGTTGCTTGAGAAAAAGAATGTCTAAAGGGTGAGGATTCAGATAGCTGCATTATTCCTTTTCCTCTCTCTCCGAGTTCATATGCATTAGATGTTTGTGTGAGAGTGTTTCCCAGATTTGCATGGTCCAGGAATCCTGATCAGAACCTGAAGTGGTTGTAGGTTTGTCAGAGAAACTTTACAGCACTGCTCACCATTCATGTTTTGCCAGACCTCTCCTGAGAACCTGTGGATTTAACTGTGCACAGTGGAACATGGTCATTGAAAGAATTTGGTGCTTTTATTATATTGAAAGGATTTGATGTTTTTATATCACTTACTAAAAAAATAATTTGGGCATCTGTTTCTAAAATCAAGAGCTTAATGATGGGTTTGGTTCATAGACAGCAGCAACCAAATCCTGTAGAAACATGTATCCTAAAAACAACTGAACAAAAACACCCCACAAACCCTGTTACACTCTAAATCCACAGACAGGCCTGAACTGCTAATTAATTCTGTACCTAACAGAAAAGACTTAAACATGAATGGAACTAAAAGTCTGTTGCCTCCAGGTATTTGGTGTCTGCCAACAGCCAGTCCAGATCCTTTAAAAAACCCGAGATGCATTTATTAGGTGTGTTTGGGTTAAACTGCAGCACAAGTTTCTGGAATGAAAAATTTTAAAAATTAATGTTGAGGCTTCTTGTAAACACTGAAAGGAGACCTGATCATTCACCTATGAACACTTTTCAGTGTTAGAGAGCACAGAGGGTCACAAAGACTGAGCTTGATACCAAGTTGAGAGCTGGGACTGTTCAGCGTGGAGAAGGGTCTGGGATGACCTTAGAGCTCTTACAATGCCCGAAGGGACTCCAGGAGACCTGGAGAGAGATTTGGGACAAGGGCCAGGAGTGACAGTTACTAAAAATTCTGTTTAAACTGCTCCATCCAACAAGACAAAACCCCAGAGGAGCAAAGACCCGTTTGGTTTCCATTGCTGGTTTGAACATGGCACGTTCTGGCTGTGTTCTTCCTGTAGCTGTACCCCCTTGGTAGAGAAAAGGGTGGTTTACTATTTTCTTTAATTGTTGTGGGATTTCTGCAGTGTCTTTGAGAAATTGCCACCACACTTTCAGTCTGTTACCCTGCCTTGAGTAGTAATGAGAGGTCTGGCTGTGGTTTCTTCCCAGAAGAATTGTCCTGGGCTTTGTGCAAACCAGGTGCTTATACAGAGAAGCAAACATACATTTTACACTTACATTTCAAAAGATTAAGATTGACTATCATTTTAATGCATCAAAGGTTTAATAGCAGACTGTAGGCAGATTTTTGGGGAGCTGACACTGAACAGGAGCAGGGTAAGGAGGAAGGAATGGCAATCTCTTGTTCTGTATCTGAATTTTTTTCCCTTGTTTTGTGTAAGTCTTTTTTTTTTTCTTTTTTTTCCTTTTTTTTTTTCCTTTTTTTTTTTTTTAGTCTGGTCTTGCCTTAAAATCTCCTTTTTTAGGAATGAGAGGGAAATGATAGTTCAGTCTGGACAGGGCTGTAGGTAATCTCATTTACTCTTGTTTTTGAAAGGAAGGGCTAATTTGAACAGCTACCCACACCATGTAGAATTCCCCTGCAGATTTAATTACTCTGGATAATGACAGGATTCTCTGAAGGGATTGATCCAAAATGTTCAGAGCTTTTTACTACTCCTCTAGTAGTTCACACAGCTTGTTCTCTGCTTCCTGAAATGCAGAGTAAGGCAATATCTGGCTGAAATTCAGCTTACTTGAGGCTTTTTTGTCACCTTGCTGTGGGGTTTTGTCCCATATAAATCACATTGTAGGTTGGAAGTACTGCTGCAGTTAACTCCTGGTTTTTTTGGAGGAGCAGGATAGGCTGGTTTTAGCAGTGACGACCTCACAGGGACAGACTTCTAGTTCTTCTTCCATTTGGAAATTTGTTTTGTGATTTACAGAACAGTTTTAAGAGTATGAAAATGGAATGTTGCTGATTGGATTTTCATTAATTTGTTAATAAATGTGTATCTCCTATTTATTAATCCAGACAAAAGGTGTTACCCACTCTCTGAGTATCAAACAGACAAATATGATTTCATAGAACTCTGGGATTTTGAGCTGCTATCTCAAGCTTCTAATTCTGTAGTTCTGGAAAACAGAAGGGAGGGAATTGGATCTGTTCTTACCCCTGGAAACCTTCTCTGTGCTCGCTACTTGAATTCCAGTCTTTGTTCAGGGGACAGGAAAAGGAGGATTTTGCTTGGTGCAGCACCATAAACATATTAAATATGAATCATCTCCAGACTCTGGAAATGCATGAGGGTGTCATGCTGAGAAATGTCATTGTGTGCTCTGCCTGGAGATTTTACATGAAATAAATGTGCCTGAAGCTTTCCCAGTGCTCCTGCACGGTGTTTGTGAACTCCAGTTGCGAGGAGTGATGCTCGAGTCTCTTCTCAGTTGGTTCTAAAAGGCTGAACAAATTTTTGGTCTTGATCAAGATGCCTTGAACCTTAAAACGCTTAAAATTCACTCTGCCAATTTAAGTCCATTCTCAAAGGTATCTTTCCAGCTTGTAGGTAGCACATGGTTCTTGTCTTTGGGGGATGATCAGGAGTATTTTCTATCATATTCTTTAAATGAGTGTTGCTTTTTCATCTTTTATCTCCAGTGCCAGGAATGCGCAAACCTTCTGAACCCCAGTGAACTGTTACAGAGACTCACTTTTCCCTTCTCACCATCCCTTGTTCTTCCTGCAGCAAAACTTGGAATGAGGTGCTTCATCTTGTTGATGATCTCTCAAGCTGCTTTTCATTTCCCACAGAGGCAAATATACATATATATTTCCATATTTTTTGTATTGCTGTCCAGTTTCCAGTTCTTAGTCCCCAGTGGAATTCTCCAGAGTGGCGTTCTTGCTGCAGCAGAAGGGGAACAGGTTTTGTGCTGCTGAAATGTATTTACTGATCTCTTCTTTTGCATTCTCCATATTGGGATACAATAAATCTGTGATGTAGTGAAGTCTTCTGGCTCCCAAACGCCTGTGATTACATCCTAGGAAAATAGTAGGTAAATTATCAAATTTTATCTTTTTGTTATCAATTTTACGCTTATTTTTATGCTTATTTTTATGCTTATTTTTAATTAAAGGGACAATCTACTTGTCCAAACGGATGTAATTGGCTTTTTTGTTTGGAGTTGTGATTGAAATGATGCCATAAGTGTCTTTGGTAATTTTAATTATGAAAATAAGGCTTTGCTTCTGAATTGCTACTTTAGAGACATGGATGAAGATACCTGCATTGCCTGTGGGGTAGAGACTGGGTGCTAAGGAGTTGTGTTTTCTGCTGCCAAAATAAAGCTTTTTCATCCTTCTCCAACGGAAGATTCTAATGAAGCCTCAAAATGGAGATGGGTTTGTTTTGGTTTAGTTTTCCCTGAGTAGCTTCTCAGGCTTCTTAATTTTTATTTGAAAATATTTTGTTCAATTGTCATCCTTCCTGGTGTCATTAGTCAGTTTTTCCTGTTAATACAGAAATAATTACCAGAGATTTCAAAGGGGATCTCAGTGCAGTCCCCAGTTCTCTTATCCTGAGCTTACGACTGCTCGTTGTAAACAAATGAGCAGAAAAAAAAGATTCTTCTTTGTAGTTGGTCTCCGATGCCTGTAAAAACTTCCATTTCTTTGTAGGCTTTTCCCTTCCTCTTCCCACCACCCTCCCAGTTGGAAATGCCTTCCTGTCATTTCCAGGAGGATGTCTTCCGGGGATTTCTGTCTGCTGCACTCACGAGTCAAGTACTTCTTTCTTACACAGTGAACTTCCAGCAGATCCTGACACTCGTTCAGAGCTCACCCTCCTGCTGCTCTACATGGGCTTAAGGGTTTCTCCTGGAAGTTCATGTCCCAGAAGAGCCGTGCTGGAGCCCAGTCTGGAGAGGCCAGGTTGTGATGAGGGTCAGCTTAGCTTGGAGAGGTTCCTTCATCATTCCAAAGGGTCTTCTTGTGACACATCATTGCTGAGATAAAGATTTCTCTTATTGTTTCCATTTTATTGAAACATTTTAGGTGGGTTCTCTCCAAATTGAGTTGGAA